TTGTATTTATTCTTGCCCCACCTGTTCCTTTTTGTTGGAGATCTGCATAAGAGGGACCACTAGTGACCACATACTACAGTCAATGCTAGGCGGTCCTGAACTCTTCTCTGCCAATGCCATTAATCCAAAATTCTTCTATTTAGCCTCAGACAGATTTTTAGGACAAGGTTAAAAAGCAACCACACTCTGCCAAAATATCACAAAAATGATCTCTTGGTCACTTGCAATATTCTTCCCTTCTGAAACTTCTTGATCTGGGCCCCCACAGTTCAAGTTGCCCTCAGCACTATCTTTCATAGTGGGATGACCCACTAAGCCTCACTTAAAGCATTCGATCTCTTTTCTAGTCCAGAGTCCCAAAGCCTTCCAACAAACAGCATGGTTAGGCTTGTCACAGCAAGGCCCCAGTCCCTGGTACTAAGTTATGTCTTAGTCACTATTCTTTAGCTGTGAGGAGACACCATGACCAAGGCAACTCTTTTTTTTTTTTTCTGTTTGTTTGTTTTTGTTTTTCGAGACAGCGTTTCTCTGTGGCTTTGGAGCCTGTCTTGGGACTAGCACTTGTAGACCAGGCTGGCCTCGAACTCACAGAGATCCACCTGCCTCTGCCTCCCGAGTGCTGGGATTAAAGGCGTGCGCCACCACCGCTCAGCTGGTAACTCTTACAAAAGAAAGCATTTAAGTGGTGACTTGCTTATTATAGTTTCAAAGGTTTAGTCTGTTATCATCCATGGTGGCAGTAGTTTGGTGTTGTAAAGGTAGCTAAGAGCTTTTTCCTGATCCTTAGGCAAAGAGAGAAAGAGAGAGAGGATGGTGGGGAGGAAGCATTAACAGAGAGACAGAGATGAGACCCTGGTCCTGGCTTAGGCCTTTGACATCTCAAAGTCCACTCTCAGTGACACACTTCTTCCTACAAGGCCACACCTCCTAATCCTTCTCAACCAGTGCCACTCCTTGATGTCTGAGATTCGAGTATATGAGCCTGTGGGGCCATGCCCATTTTAGCCACCACGTGCTGTTTGCCGTCACTGCTGTCTAGAACCATTGGTAGACAGCAGTATGAACGTGGTGATCTAAAACTATACACTTCTTTCTTTGTAAAGTGATTGGGAAAGTTCTATGAAGAAAACCTTCCTTTTGTTAAGTATTTGATTATGTTGGCATTTCAACAAAACTCAATTACTTTTATGATTAGAAAATTAAAATGAACGCTGGCTCATCTTATTCAAACTCAGATGAAGTTTAAGTTAAACAATGGTATTTTCCTATAAAAATAATTTTAGCATGATGAGTTACTTAGTACACTTAGTTCTGCTCTTAGCATTGTCATAGAATGAGGACTTGAAGGAAATCCAGTGAGAGAGGAAGCCCTGCCATAGCTTACATATTGAAGTTCCCACTCCAGACTTCCCTTCCCCATGCCTTGCAAGGCCTCCTGCATACTAAGCGAGTGTTCTAGTACAGGTTTATCCCCAGTCCCTAGAATGCTTTTCAAAGAGAATTTTTAAAATCTTTTCATATAACATATTTGGATCATACATATTCTGATCATATTCTTTCCCAATTCCTCCCAGATCCTCCCCATCTCCCTACACACCCAATTTTATGTTTTCTCCCTCCCTCCCTCCCTCCCTCCTTCCCTCCCTCCCTCCCTCCCTCCCTCCTTCCCTCCCTCTCTCTCTGTCTGTCTGTCTCTCTCTCTCTCTCTCTCTCAAAAATAAACAGGAAGAACAACAACAAAAACCACAAAATTAAGAACAAACTTAAAAAAAAAACAATGAAACAAAAAAAGTTCACAAAAAAAAGTCCAAAAATAAACAGCCAGACAAAACAACGCAAAAACCAAACAAAACATAAAAAACCATGGAGTCTGTTTTGTGTTGGCCAACTCCTCCTGGGAATGGGGTCTGCTCTGGATTGTGGTTGATAAACTGAGCAACATTCTATTGGAGAAAACGGTTACTGGATTTTCTCTTTCCCAGCAGGCAGCAAGTGTAAAGTTGGCCAAGGGCAGGACCCCTTGTCTACTCCCCTTTCTCAGTGCTGGGACTGTGTCTGGTTTGAACCTGTGCAGGTCTTGTCAGTCTCTGAGAGTTGGTGTATACAGCAGTCCTACCGTGTCTGGAAGATGCAGCTTCCTTATAGTCCTCCACCAGCTATGGCTCTTCCAGTCAAGGGCACAGCCGTGAGGAAGGCTGATGTGCACAGCCCCGAAGTACTGATGATTGCGTTGTCCATCTGTGTCTGGGTGCAGCACAGTCTGCTCTGTGCAATGTCCCCTGTCCTGACGTGCTGTGTGTGCTGCTGTCTGGGTTTCCCTGCTGTTCCCATGATGTGTCTGTCATCTGTCCTGAGAGTACTGTCTTCACATCCTTACTTTGGAACTTCCAGTTCCTCTGAGGAAAGGGAGGCGGGCCAAGATGAGGGCTTTCCTTCTGAGTCTTCTTTGGCAGTTTCTTTCCATACTTGTCACCAAGTCTGTGTTCTTCACATGCCACCGCCACAGTGAACTTCCCAAAACACGGCTTATTTACTAAGTCCATTGACATTAAATTCAGACTTCACCCTTCTTTTTTGACTTTTTAATTCTTGAATTCACTTACTCAAGTGGGTGTTGAGGTGTCTTCCTGTTGTTGTTGTTCTTACCCAGAGTAGCCTTGAACTTCTTAGGTAGCCAAGGAGGACTATGAACTTTCAGTCATCCTGCTTTTACCTCCCAGGTGATGGGACTGCAGGCAGGCACTACCTCTCCTGGTTTCTGAAGTGCTGGAGACCAAACACAGTGCTCATGAAAGGCAAGGACTCTTTCAGCTGGGCTGTATCTGCAGATTCCCAAATCACCTTTTTTTAATTTTTGCTTGTTCACATTTGTTAAAGTGTCACAACAGAAAATAAGTACGTGATTAGAAATGTATAGAAGTGTCCAGACTATGTCTCTTCTTTGCCCCATTTTTTATAATCTAAAAACCTTCAAAATCATATTCTTCTCTGCATAGCCCTGGCTGTCCTGGAACTCACTCTGTAGACCAGGCTGGTCTTGAACTCACAAAGGTCCGCCTGCCTCTACCACTGAGTGCGCCACCACTGCCCAGCCAAAATCACATTCTGTACTTATATAAGCACTCCAAAATGTTTGGTTTCAAGATCCAGTTACTAAAACCATGATTTATTACTCCCCCACTTGTAAAATGGCGCCTCTCAATGAAGGCTAGCCCTACACAGAACATTAATATTCTTTGATAGTTTTGTTTGTCATAATTGGGTACTGCTGTCATCCAGGGCTAAAGGTTTCAGTTGCTCCTAGCCCAGCAACAAAGACTCACCTATTCCCAAATGTCAGTCAAGGTGCCAAGTCCAAGAAACCTGATATAGAATTTGCAGCTTTGTGTGTGTATCTGTCCTGTCTGTCTGTCTTTCTGTCTGATATGTGATTTATAGTATCTACACACACCTGTACAGTTTACCTGCTTAGGATCCTTCTTTTAGCTTTACCTTAATTTTTTTTTAAATCACACACACACACACACACACACACACACACACACACACACACCCTACCTCCAAGACAGTCATGTACTTAATTCCCATTCGGTACTCACTTTCAATTCCTCTACAGGTGGCTTCTACATGCCATTCTTGCTATTCTTTTCTGTTCTCTTCCTTTGTTTCTGGGGCAGGGTTTCACACAATGGCCTGGTGCATTGTTGCTGTGATAAAGCACCACATCCCAGGCAGCTAACAGAAGAAAGAATTTATGTAAGCTATGGTTCCAGAGGGATGGGATCCACCTCATCAGGGAGGCAGGGCAGCCAGCATCAAGTATGGTAGCAGGGGTGGGAAGCTGAGAGTTCTCATCCACAATTGCAAATGGGCAACAGGGAGAAGGAACTGAAGTGGATAGGAGCTATGTGATCTGAAAGCCTGCCCCCAGTGATGAGTTCCCAACAGCGAGGCTGTCTATCCAAGCCTCCCCAAACAGCGCCACCAGCTGAGATCCCACTATCCAGATGTCCAAGCCCGTGGGGGACATTTCCTTTTCAAACCAACACGCCCAGAGAGGTCTGGAATCCACTACGAAGCTCAGGCCTTAAGAGTGCTAGGATTACAAGTGTGAGCTACTGTTCCTGGTTCAAACAAGCAAATTTTAGGGAACTTTTGAAAAACAAAAAAAAAAAAAAAAAGGAAAAAAAGGCCCTCTCCTCCAGGATCTTAGAAAATGTTCTCTTAAAAATTTTAAGTTGTTTCTGGGTAGTGGTGGTGCATATCTTTAATCCCAGCACTTGGGAGGCAGAGACAGGGGGAATCCCTGAGTTTGAGGCCAGCCTGGTCTACAGAGAGTGTTCCAGGACAGTTAGGACTGATAACACAGAGAAACGCCTCAAAAAAAAAAAAAAAGGAAAAAAATGAAAGAAAGAAAGAAAGAAAGAAAGAAAGAAAAAAGAAAGAGAGAGAGAGAGAGAAAGAAAGAAAGAAAGAAAGAAAGAAAGAAAGAAAGAAAGAAAGAAAAAAGAAATTCAAACTAACCTTTAGAGCAATTCCAGTAAAGGTCAGTCGGTTACATCCTTATGTGAATCCATTATTTCCAAGTGTTCGTGCAGGTCACCGCCTGAGTCTATTATTTTATGTGCTGGGCTGTATGGGGATCGACCTCTTGTGTGTGATACCTCAGTGCTTTTATAGGTCGAGAATCTCGCTGTTACTCTGAAGCTTTCATTGAGTTCTTTTTTATTGAATGATTAGGAAGCGCCTTTAAAGTGTCTGTTGTAATGACTTGCTGTCTGGTAACACAGCTGGAGCTGACTGGCCTCTGTAAATGCCTATAAATGAAGCTTTATTGTACAGGTTCCCCAGTCCAGGGCTGCAGAGCTGGTCTGGAGAGTTTCAGTTCGTCCCTCACTGCCATCTAGACCTCCATCAACCCCGAGACTCTGGATATCCCTAGCCTGTGTAGCAATCACTGTGAATGTAATGCCCATCGTGTGGTCTTTTCTTTTAAACAGGGGGAAATGCAGTGTTGCCCTGCTGAATGAGACAGAGTCGGTGTTGTCGTACCTTGATAAAGAGGTAATTTGCAGTCGCGTTCGCCTTGTGCTTTCTCCCCATTACTTCACACGAAGGCCATACCCTGAACTCTTTTCCTTTGTGCCTGAGTGTTACTGTGCTATCCTGGCAAGATGGCGTCGGCTGGAGTGCCTTTGGCAATTGCATTGTCCTGGCTGAAGGCAGAATTGGCAAAAGTGGCATCTCTTTGTCAGTTCCATTGAGAGGCTTACTGAAGTACGTACAGCCCAGGATGCAAATGAGGATTTTCATCCCTGGTTTTCATTCCTTCATCCCGTGGTCTGTTTTTGAATAAATGCCTCACTCTCTAGTGGCTCTCCAGACTTCATAAGAACAGGCGGCCAGGCCACTGTGCTTATTAACTCTAGGGCACTGGAGCCCTTTTGTTTTTAAAAACTAATCTATTATTAGTGTATGTGTGTGTGCCTGCTCACATGTACATATAAGTCATGGGAGAGGGGCAGACACAGATGCCATTTATGTATATGGCGGTCAGAGGACAGCTTGGTGGAGATATTTCTCTCCTTTTACCTTTTTATGTGGGTTCCAGGGATCAAACTCAGGTTGTTAACCTTGGGCTGTAAGCACCTTTACCCTCTAAGCCATCTTGCTGGGCTTACTGGGCTTTTGAAAGAATCAATGGAATGCTTAATGTGTAGGTTGGTGGTAATCGTGTGTTTAGTTATGCTGTGTCTGCCATTATACACATGACTGTGCATTACAGTTATAATAATAATTAAATGGGATTTTTATAGTGATATTAACAAACCACATGTAAAGGGGCATGGAGATGGCTCAGTGGTTACGAGCACTTAATGCTCTAGCGAATTCCTGGACTTAATTCTCAGCACCTGCATGGTGGTGTACAACCGTTCCAGGGGATCTGGTACCCTTCCCAGCCTCTGTGGCTCCAGGTATGCATGTGATACACATACAGGCAAACACTGATAAACAAATATTTTTTAAAAACTACATGTAAGTTCTACTCTTGTATATTCAGTCAATATGTGGGGTTTTGTTTCTTAGTCTCACTATGTGTCTATCTGCCTCTGTCTCGTGAGTGCTGGGGCTAAAGATGTGGGCCACCAAGCTCCAGCTTCATTTTGTTTTTGAAACAGGGTTTTCTGTGTAGCTCAGACTTGTCTGAAAATATCTGTCTGTCTCAGCCTCCCTGCTAGCCATCTCGGCTAGCCTCTCAGAACTCTATTTAGAGTAGTTAATGACTTTCTTTTATATTAAAGCAAATTGTAGAATTTTATATTATTCTTAAAGTTATTTGTTTTGGCTCTATGTAATTTTGTGCTATTGTACATGATGACAGTATTGCCATGTTCTCCTTGATGATTTATTAATTTGTTCACTAAAATGAAATTTTATATATTCAAAAGTTAAGGTTATAATTTTCATTTCTGTGATATTAATTTTATTGCTTTATAAAACGGAAAATTATTCACTTTACTTAGGTGGTTTTTGTTATTTTTTTTTTCAGGATACCTTCTTTTACTCCTTGGTGTATGACCCTTCAGTGAAAACATTATTAGCTGACAAAGGGGAAATCAGAGTGGGACCAAAGTACCAGGCCGACATTCCAGACATGCTGCCAGAAGGTGCGTGCTTTGGCTTCACGTCCTGGGAAATGGTGTCTTACAGCATGAAGGTTCTTGTCCTCGGGGAAGAGGTGCAGTGGAGAGTTCACAGTTTGAACCTTCTAATTTTAGAAACATAGCAAGCATCAGAGGATAATCTACTTGCTCGCTTACCCCTTCATGACTTCACATTGGTTTGTTTTCGTGGATGTGGTTTGTTTGATTTGTTTGTGTGTATTCCTCACATGTATGTGTGAGTGTGTGTTCCACACATGTATGTGTGTGAGTGTGTTCCACACATGTGTGTGTGAGTGTGTGTTCCACACATGTATGTGTGTGAGTGTGTGTTCCACACATGTATGCGTGTGAGTGTGTGTTCCACACATGTGTGTGTTCCACACATGTATGTGTGAGTGTGTTCCACACATGTATGTGTGTGAGTGTGTGTTCCACACGTGTGTGTGAGTGTGTGTTCCACACATGTATGTGTGTGAGTGTGTGTTCCACACATGTGTGTGAGTGTGTATGTGTTCCACACATGTATGTGTATCACTATGGGGTGCGGTAGGCCAGGGATCAGCATTAGGTAGGGTTGGGGTCTTTCACTGAGCTGGAGCCTGCTGATTTCACTGGACTGGCTGGCATCGGGTGCCAGGGATCACCCAACCCTCCTCCTCAGTGTGCATCACAGGCATGCACTACTGTGCCCAAATCCTGTTTTCCTGTGGGTTCTGGGGATAAAAGTGAGATCCTTGTGTTTGCATGACAAACACATCACTCACTGAGCCACCTCTCAGGCTCTGGCTGTTTTCAAGGTTTAGATGGTTAGTGTGTGATGGGTGTGATGGCACATGCCATTAAGTACTTGGGAGGAGAGGCAGGCTGATCTGTGTTAGTTTGAGGGTAGCCTGGTCTAGAAGTGAGTTCCAGGCTAGTCTAGCCAAGGCTACATAGACCCTGTCTTAAAAAAACACAAAAACAAAACAAAACAAAAAAAACTTGGTTAATGTTGTTGAACTTTGATCTAATGTGTGGTTTATATTCATTCCTATTTTCCCTCTGATTCTCTGTATCCCCCAACCTCACCCCTCTGAAGGATCAGGACCTGATGATGTATACTAGGCAACACTCTATCAACTGAGCTCTATTTCCAGACCTCTGTCTTGAGATTTGTAAATGACTTTAAGCTATCTAGCTCAGCAGGCAATGGAACTAGTAAGCAGTTACATTTTGGCGAGAATTTGACTGATCTGTATAGCCAAGAGGTTCACTGCTATAAACTTTAAAAAAATCTTTTATTAGATTTATCTTTATGTGTACATGGATCATGTGAGTATGTGTCACATGTGTGTGGTTGCCTGAGGGGTCCAGGAGAAGGCATAGGGTCCCCTGGAACTGGAGTTACTGGTGGTTTTGTGAGCTGTTTAATATAGATACTGGGAACTGACTGGGGTCCTGAAAGGACAGGAAGTGTTCCTAACCACTGAGCCTCCTCTGACCTGAAGGATCATAACGAAGCACATCTTTGTAGAGGGATGTGATTTTTGCTTGGCTTATTTTTAAAGTTACTGTGGTTGGCTTTATTTCTATTTATCTTTTACTTAAAACACCACATTTGTAGATTTTAGAGCAGTGGTTCTCAACCCGTGGGTCGCAACCATTTTAGGGGTCTAGCGACCCTTTCATAGAGGTTGCCTAAGATCATCTGCATATCATATATTTACATTATGATTCATAATAATAACCAAAAAGCAGCAATGAAATAATTTTAAGATTGGGGGTCACCACAACACGAGGAACTGTATTAAAGGGTCGCAGCATTCGGAAGGTTAAGAACCACTGTTTTAAAGAATACTGCTCTTTAAAATTTTTACTTAGGGTGTGTTTGCATGTGTGTGCATGTGTATACATGCCAAATCTGTGTGCGGAGGTCAGAGAACAATTTCTGCCTTGCACATCCTGGGGGTTCAAATTCAGGTTGTCAGGCTTGGAGGCATGTGCTGTCCTGGGTGCTTTTGTGTGTCTACTTGACACAAGCTAGACTCATCAGAGGAAAGGGCCTCAGGTGAGGAAATACCTCCCTCAGATCCAACAGTAAGGCCTTTTCTCCATTAGCAATCATGAGGGAGGGCCCAGTCCACTGTGGGTGGTGCCACCCCTGGGCTGGGTTCTATAAGAAGACAGGTTGAGCAAGCCATGGGAAACAAGCCAGTCAGCAGCACCCCTCCACGGCCGCTGCATCAGCTCCTGCCTCCAGGTTCCTGCCCTGTTTGAGTTCCTGTCCTGACTTCCTTCAGTGATGAACAGCAATGCAGAAGTGTAAACCAAACAAACCCTTTCCTCCCCAACTTGCTCTTTGTCATGGTGTTTCATTGCAGCAATAGAAACCCTAACTGAGACATGTGCCTTCATCTGCTGAGCCATCTCACTGGCCTAACATGACATTTTAGAAATATCAAAATGAAGAAGTCTTTTGGATTCTTCTTGGGACCTATGGCATGTTCCTGGTGTTCTTCTCATTGTAACTGAGCAGCCAACTAGAAGCGTGCTTTAAAGAACCTTTCTTTTCTTTCTTTCTTTTTTTTTTTATTTTTTGTTTGGGTAGCCCTAGCTGTAGAACTAGCTCCATAAACCAGCTGGCCTCAAACTCACAGAGATCCTCCTGCCTCTGCCTCCAGAGTGCTGGAATTAAACATGTGTGCCACCACTGTCTGGCAAGAACCTTCTTTCTGATTACTATCTGCTAGAGGAAAGGACCTTAAGCACTAACAGACATATAAAGTCATGAAACATGAGCCTGGTGTGGGTGGATGCTTGTAAACCCAGCCCTTGTGAGGCTGAAGCAAGAGGGTTGTGTGTTCCATCCTGAATTACACGGCAAGACCATGCCTTGGAAAATAAATCAACAGACAAGTATGACGCAAACTGCAGACATTGGCACCACACAGCGTGTTGACAGTGAAGTCCCTGGCTGCAGGACAAATATACAGTAGAAAACAGTATATTTGAGAACCTTCGGGCTGCAATTCGAGCCTTCTGAGCCTGTTGACAATCTCCAGTGGGTGCGTTTGACCAGTGGACAGATCGCAATCTGCATTGGAATGGGAGGCGAAGCTGGAGTAATATCCTGGGTAGGTGGCTGCAGCAGCTTGTCAGAATTCACATCCTGATGGACTCGAGAAGCTGGTTGTGGTGTATGAGGATTCACTTAAGGCTCTCCATCCCTTAACAAACACTTCGGATTTGGAATGATGAGTTTGAAAAATGAAAGTAAAGATTAGATCTTAAATATTTCACTAAATTTAAATAGACCACCTATTCCATGGGAAAAATGTCATTAGGAAAGTTAAAATTATTATTTAAATGTATTATAACATTAGAATTTGAAGAAAGAAGTCTGTTCTATAGATGATATTTTTAATTGTTAAATGGTTAAACTGAGATTGACCCTGGATGCCCAGATTTGGGTAAAACGTGGGTAATAGGTCCTAATTATAATCTTGGGAAGTAGTTCAACCCATCTGACTGAACCTTTCTTTCTCTTTAAAGAAAGAGTATGTGGGCCAGGCAGTGGTGGCTGTTGATCCCAGCACTTAGGAGGCAGAGGCAGGAGGTTCTCTGTGAGTTCAAGGCCAGCCTGGTCTACAGAATGAGTTCAAAGACAGTCAGGGCTACACAGAGAAACCCTATCTCAGAAAACCAAAAAGAAAGAAAGAATATGCGGTTGTGCCTTTGGCATTGTGATGAGTGGGAGATGTGCCCGTCAGCCATGGACTGTGAACTTCAGGGGAGGCTTCTCTTTTGAGGCTGAATAATTAATTTGTGCATATTTCGTTATGTGTTTTAAAAACAAGATTGTCTCACCTTTAGTCATGAAGTAGGAAATTATCAGCAGATAGTGTAGCAACAGCGTCCTTCCCCACAGGCTTCCTGCAGTGCTCTGGGAGTTTAGGAGAAGCTAGGGGTTCCAGAGGAGCACCTCCATCCAGCGCAGGCCTCCAGGAGGCTGATTCTGTGCACTGCTCCACTATGGAAGAACCACATGGACAGCTTGACTCTGCAAAGGGAAAACACTCTTGCGCCTTGGATTCGATTTTCAATTCCACTGAAACTCTGCCAGAAATCACCATCTCATTGGCCTACAGGGGCTGGGGTTTGACTCTGCCACAATCACCATCCCATTGGCCTACAGGGGCTGAGGTTTAAGGAGATAAAGATCAGCGGACCTCCTTCGGCAGGTGTGGCCCTCCTGTTTACTTATTTCAGTGCTCCAAGGACAAGTTCCCTAAACCTTGTTATTTCTTCTCTTGCCCTCTCCATCTCCGATGATTGAACATAGGGCCTCACACATGCTAGACAAGCTCTCCACTGATATATTACACCCCCAGCTCAACCATGTCGTTTGTAGTGGCTAACTTTGTAGAACGTAGGTCTCTCAACGCTGTGTGAGAAGCAGGTGGGCTTAGATAAGGAATCTCATGTTGGGAACAGCAAAAAGCTGAAGGCTAGTGCCAGCTTGGAGCCCTAGTATCCAGGAAAGGACTTCACAGTTTGGTTTGTTTGTTGAGCAGAATCTTGCTGTGTAGCCCTGGCTGTTCTGGAACTTACTATGTAGACCGGGCTGGCCACTGCCTGCCCAGTGCTGGGAGTAATGGTGTGTGCTACATGCCCAGCCTCAGTTTTAACTTGAGTTAGTAATGGGCAGGGCCACACCTTGGTCAAAGTGCTTAGCTGTGCTTAGCTGTGGCCCTCTACTTAAACCAACATCTCATGTCAGGACCGTGAAGATGGACTTGGAGGGGTTCTGGATCTCTGCCCTTCCTCCCAGCATGGTCACATTAAATAATATTCTCCCTTTAAATTTGAGTATAAGCAGATATACACTGCTGACATATAGAACAATTTCCAACAACAGGACAAGTTTGTCCCCTAGGGAACATTGGCAATGTGTAGACATTGTTGTCATTTGGGGGAAGGAAGTAGACAGGTGATTCTATAGGCACACCTTAGATAAAGTTCCCTGATGCTACCAAACAAATGAGAGCACAGAATGTATTCAGCCCCAGTGTCAAGTGTCTAGCTTGAGAAAACCTTCTCCAATGGCTTCTTGGATGTTGTAAGTGTCCAGTCAGTGTCAGTTATTATTTCTATGATAATAGGACTTAAACTTTCAAATATATTGATTTTTTTTTGAGATGGGGTCTTATGTAGCTTAGGTTGGCCTCTTCTTGCCTTCTTTATCTCTCAGGAGCTGGCAAAACCACCAGACCTGATTGTATGTGGTACTGGGGATAGAACCCAGGGTTTGGGGCACATTAGCAAGCATGTCACCCACTGAGCTATGTCCCCAGTCCCTATTTCTATACTTTTATCAACTCTTTCTTTTTGTGGCGTTGGGGATCAAACTGAGCTCAGCATTGTTTGGTTTACTGTCATTTTATATTAGAGTTAATCCTATTTCCTATCTTACTACTATTTGACTAGTAGATTAATAAAATAATTTATCTGCTCCTAAAAATAAGTTCTTATAAATTAATCCTATGAGAGAGTTGTACAAAAATGCTATCAGAAAGACCTAACACTTCACTGTTTATTTATTCAAATCATCTTTCCTTTGGAAGTTCTAATAATTATATAAATATACTGTCAATGTTGTTTATATTTCTTATTTTTCTTATATTTTCTTTGGAATCTCCACTGAGCTTCTTAAATTCATATTTATGATGCTATTCTAGTAACTTATTCCTTTGATTCATATCCCAGTATATCACCCAGAGTTTTTCACGCAATATTCAACAGAAATGATGATAAATGGTATCCTTGAGTGTTTCTGATTTAAATATAACATAAAAATGTGGCAGCTGATACAACTAAGATGAATTTTACATAGAAAGCAGATAATTCCAGTTGTCCTGGAAAGGGCTTCCAGGATGTGTAATGCACCATTGGTCCTTCCACATGGGAGGACTTGGTGCTTGTAAGGAATATACTGAAGAAATTGTTGGCTGTGTAAGCACATTTCTGGATCTATGTTTCTTCAACTTTATGTGACAAAAAGAAGTGGGAAGCTATACAGTCTTGCAATTAGTTTTCTGTGGTTAAGATAGAGCCTCATTGTGTTGTTCTGGCTCCTCTGGAACTTGTATCCCTTCTCTTTCTCTACCGCCAACTGGGATTATAGGCATGCACCACCACACCTGGCCTAGCATCTCAGGAGATGCTGCTGATGCTATGCTGGTGCTGATGCTGCTGCTGCCTGGGGCTGATGCTGCTGATGCTAATGTTGGTGCTGATGATGGTGATGCTGCTGATGCTGATGTTGGTGCTAATGATGCTGGTGCTGGTGCCTGTACCAGTGCTAGTGCTGATGATGCTGATGCTGGTTCTGGTGCTGATGCATGCCACGTTGTTGGTTTGCTTGTATCACCATCTCTACACACCTACTACCAAAGGATGCACCCAGATGTGATTACTGTTTTCCTGACTTTTGAGCATCTAAAACATTGGTGACCATAGCCATCAATCATATGCCACAGTTTAAACAACAATCCCTTTCTTTTGTTTCTGGACAGGAGACTCAGATGAAAGGGAACAATCAAAATTGGAAGTTAAAGTTTGGGATCCCAATAGTCCACTTACGGATCGACAGATTGACCAGTTTTTAGTTGTAGCCCGGTGAGTATGCCATTATCCAGTCAAGTCTTTGTATGAAACGTCTTACACTTGTGTATAGTTCCTTTTTTAAAAAGACACTATTTTATTTTACATGTATGATTATTTACCTGAATGTATCTATATGTACTACATGTGTTCCTTTTACTTTTGGAGACCAAAAGAAGTTACTAAATTTCCTGGAACTAGAGCCACAGACATGTGTGATTTACCACATGGGTACTGAAAACCAAATTCAGGTCCTCTGTAAGAGTGGCAGTCTCTACAGCCTCCTATTTCCTTCCTTCCTTTCTTCCTTTCCCCTTATTCCCTCCATCCTTCTTTTTATTTTTTTTATTTTTATTTTTTATTTTTAATTGGCTTTTAGAGACAGGGTTTCTCTGTAGCTTTGGTTCCTGTCCTGGAACTAGCTCTTATAGACCAGGCTGGCCTCGAACTCACAAAGATCCACCTGTCTCTGCCTTCCGAGTGCTGGGATTAAAGGCGTGCACCACCACTACCCGGCTTTTTTTTATATATATACTTTTTTAAGACAAAGTCACTCTGTGTAGCCCTGCTGGCTTTGAATTTACAGAGATCTGTCCACCTTTGCTTTCTGAGGACTAGGATTAAAGGTGTGTGCCATCATGCCTGCTTTCTTTATATTCCTTTATATTATATCCTTTCTTTATATTCCAGCCCCCACGCCATTGGTTATCTTTTTCTTTTTCTAGTCCTCTGAGAAAACCAATATCTAGTCACATTGTCCACTAAATAATGCGATCTACTGCCGTTAATTTGTTATAAGTGAAAATGTTTAATTTAATTACAAAAGTGGAAGCGAGGGTTGGGGTGGAGCACTTGCTTGCCTAGCATCCCAGCTCTCATCCTCAGCAGTGCTAAAACCCTCAGCCAGCAGCAGCTACCAGAAGGACAGGTGTAACAAAATGAATAGTGTGTGTGTGTGTTTAAAAGTTAGAAGCATAAGGAAGAAATGGAATACCTGAATCCCATATCTTTAATGAAAGAAATGCCCTTTATTTTGGACATTGCTGAACTCTAAACTGGGTTATTCAGGTGCCAGTAGAAATGTGTCACTCAGTCCAGGGGAGGTAACTCACACCTGTAATGCCAGTTCTTGGGAGGTGAATGCAGAAAGATCAGGAACTTGAAGCTAGCCTGGGATCATAGAGAGTTTGAGGCTAGCTGGGCTACCTGAGTCTGACTCAAAAAATCCAAGCCCCTAATGAAGGTGAGAGGGAGGAGAAGAGGGGAGAGGCCATGTGAGGCCTGGTAAGGAGGCTGCTGCTTGCAAGCCCCCCTTCCCCAAGGCTTGGTTACCTTGCTTCTCCCCCGGCTCTTCCTTAAGCAATGAGTAGAGGCAGGATTTTATTTTTATTTCTTCAATGATAAAAGTAAATGAGGCTTGTGGGGAAAACTGCCACAAAAGAGAAAGCAAATGAGATGAACATGCCATTGTCACGGCAGATAAATTAGAAAAATCCCCAGTGGACATCAGCAAGCAGCTGAGGAATGAGTGAGTTACCCCCGTACAATGGGGTAGTACTTTACATCCGTTAAAATGAGAGAATTTAAACTTTGCGTAATAAAGGGCCAAATCTTCTAATATTGAAATGAAGGTCTACAAAGTATGATTGTTTATGTGTTTGTACTGTGTCCATTTATTTGAAAAGACCATGTAATGCACAAACTATTTTATTCCATTAATGGATATATTATACATTATGGCTATAAGAGACTGCAACCAAATGTATAATGTTTAACTCCTTACATGAATCAGACATGGCAAAATAATTCAAATCAGTTCAACCCAAATAATAGGCGGAAGGGTCTCTGTAATAGTTTCTTATTTTGTGTTAAAATAGTCCTAGACTGTCACTAAGGACAGTCATTGTGGACGGTCACGCTCTACTAATGGCCAGACACTCGGGATTCAGAGCCTGTCCTAGTTAGGGGTTTTGTGGTGGAAAGACAGCATGACCACAGCAGCTTTTACAGGGAAACATTTACTTGGGGCCGGCTGCCTTACAGTTTCAGAGCTTCACTCCACTATCGTCATGGAGCGTGGCAGTGCCCAAGCAGACAGGGTGCTGAAGGAATAGCTGAGAGTCCTCATCTTGCAGGGAATAGGAAGCTGACTGAGACATTGGGCAGTATCCAGAGCATAGGAAACCTCAAAGGCCGCTCCCACTTTGACAGACTTCCTCTAACAAGGCCACACCCTCTCCAACAAAGTTACACCTCCTTTTTGTGCTACTCCTTTTGGGATTATGGGGCCAATTACATTCAAACCACCACAGAGCCCCTACGCTCATAGATCAAGGATTGGATGGGGGCATTAGGTGTACATTGCTGGGGCAGTAGCCCGCCAGTGGAGCAGGAGGCTGAAGAGTTGGAAGAAGCAATGATCCAAGGATGTGGCAGTGGCCATATGCACAGGAAAGCACCTGAGTGGTGGGTTGTTAGGGAGACCTGCAGTTTGCCAATTTGATTTACATTCTGTTTTTTTTTTTAATCAGACTATTGTTTGTTATCCACATTTATGAAACCTTGTCAAGGTGGTCTTTTTATGAAAATTACTTTAAAATGTTTAATTAAACAAGTAAACAAAACCCCAAAATACTGAATCTAAATACAAATTAAAGCCAATTATTTTTATTTTTTATTTTTTGAAACAAGACCTTGTTCTCTGTAGAGAAACTGTCAAGCTTATAACAATCCTCCTGCCTTGGCTTCCTGGATGCTATGAGCACAGGTGTTAAACTTCATGCCCAGCACCTAATCCTAACCACATTACTGCAGTTGTAACACCCTTGCCACCCCCGCCATCCTTGCCCTCTTACTTTGTAGAGCCGGGACTTGACCTGAGTTATACCAGCCAAGCCCTGCACTCTGAAGTGCTGAGGTTAGTGTAGGTATTGGGACCATCGGCATTGTCTCATCTCCCTGGTGGGACTATCAGCTGGCACAGCTGCTTTGGAAAACTGCTTGACACTGTCGCCCCACACAGCCCGTAAGTTTTATGTTAATATCACACTCAGGAAGAGAGCGTCCCGGGTACTGGAAGACGTGCATGCAAAAGGCTCTCATAGCAGCATCTGCACACTGAAGAATTGTCCAACTGAAGGGACGGGGTGAGGAAACAGAATCAGAGAAAATGCATTCCTGTTGCTCCAGCTAACAGCTGAGGTGACTTCCAAAGGATGAAACAAGAGAGGGAAAGAATAGTGTGCACCCAGGTGTGGGGCCTGTGTAGGTTTGGGTCTGGTGTTTGGGAGGCCAAGGCCAAGGGTTCTGAGTTTGATGGCAGTCTGGGCTGCATCGTTCCAAGCCAGCCTGGGCTACATGAGACCTTATCTCAAAACAACAACAGCATGTGTAACATTGGTGGTTTCTTGCCAGCAAAACCAATCTTTGATCTTGGCATTCTGGTGGTGTCAAGAGCGATGGCTCACACCTATAATCCCAGCACTTGGGAGCCAAGGTGACGTCACAGGCTAGCCTCAGCCCCACAGTGAGACACTGTCATGGTGTGATTTTTGTAGTTGTTGTTAGCTTTTGTATGAAGCAGGGTCTCACTATGTAGCCCTGACTGGCCTGGAACTCACAGAGATCCTCCTGCCTCTGTCTCCTGGATTAAAGATGTGGACCAGCTGTGTTTTTGTTGTATTTTGTTTCTTAGACTCTAGGATGGTGGTTCCTTTTGGGAGGGAGTGTGGGAAGGATTGGCCACCTTCTGTTTCTTCTCTTGGGTGTTGGTTGGACCCTAGGCATCTTCACTTTGTGAGAACTAAACATTTGTATAGGGGCTGGAGAGATGGCTCAGTGGTTAAGGGCATTGCCTGCTTTTCCAAAGGTCCTGAGTTCAGTTCCCGGCAACCACATGATGGCTCACAACCATCTGTAATGAGGTCTGGTGCCCTCTTCTGACCTACAGGCATACATACAGACAATATTGTATACATAATAAATAAATTTAAAAAATCCTTTATAAAAAAAAAACAAGAAAACCATCTGAATAGTGTGGTAGCGTTTGCCTTTTCATATATATTAGATTTTAAGTAAAATGATGTGAAGAAATCTTCCCTGGCTAACTGTCCAGCAAAGCAGGCAGTCTGTGTATCCTGTTCCTCCTGGGGTTAAGGTTCCTTTCATACCAAAACACTCTAGATCATTACAAACAGAAACCATTGCTGTGGAAGTTGCTTTTTAAAAATGGTATAGGGAAAATGGATTATTCTGTGGAGACAGGAAGGGGTTTCTGCTATAACATTCATGTGAAAAACGTTACTAGGATTTCGCACTTGGTATTTAGAACTCGCTTCACAGTGGTAGTCAGACGCTCAGCGGATTTCCTTCTCCTGTTTTTGAGCACATATGAATACCAAATGATGTGTCTGTCCCCTGGCATTTTAGATTCCATCTTCTCTTTCCTTCTCTGTGGCCACACAGGTTTGTTTTTTTCCTTGCTTGAATGATAATTACCTGCATATGCTGATTCTTGGAACCGAGCTTCTCAGAGTCCTGCTCTGCGTTCCGTTTGGGATTTGGCATCTTTGTCTATGTGATGAGTTGTCATGGGGATGTGTCCCAAGACTAAACAGGAAATTCCTTTATGTTTTGCATGTATCTTACAGAGCCTTAAAGTAATTTTATACAATATCTTTTTTAAAGATTTATTATTTTTACTTTATTTTATTTTGTGTGAGTTGATATTTTGCCTGCATGTATATCTGTGTGAGAATATCAGATCCCCTGGAGGTGGAGTTACAGGCATTTGTGAGCTGCCATGTAAGTGCTGGGAACTGGACCCAGGTCCTCTGCAAGAACAGTCAGTGCTCTTAACCACTCAGCCATCTTTACGGCTCCCCTATTTGCAATATCTTTTTGTTGTTATTTTGTTTTGAGATAGGGTCTCACAGTGTAGCCTTGACTGGCCTAGAACTCACTTTGTAGACTAGGCTAACTTCCAACTCATAGAGATCCTCCTACCTCAGCCTCCCGAGTGCTGGGATTAAAGGCATGCACCACTACACCACCCTTTGAGCAACTGAACAAAATTTTTTTCATAAAAAATTATTTATTTTTATTTCATGTGCATTCATGTTTTTGCCTGCATGTATGTCTGTGTGAAAGTGTCAGATCCCTGAAACTAGAGTTACAACCAGTTACAAACTGCCATTTGGGTGCTGGGAAATGAACCAGTGTCCTCTGGAAGAGCAGCCACGCTCTTAATCCCTGAGCCACCTCTTTAGCTTCTTGAACCAAATCTTAAATGATTTTATACATGAGACAAAGTTTCATAGCATGGAATTTTCCTTGTGTCATGTGGAGTTTCAAATTTTTGAAAATTTTACTTTTCAGTATTACTCAGTTTTTATTATATCTTAAAAGAGAAAATTACCAAACATGCTTTTCCTTTCTTTACAGTTTTTTATTTATCACCCCAAATCTAGCCCTCCTCCATGGTCTTTGCTTTAGTTCCTGTTTCTAGTTAAAACAAAAGCAGGATTGAGGGAGGTAGCCAGGCAATAAAAGCCCATGCTGCCAATACAGGAAGGCCTGGATTCAACTCCAGGACCAGAGTAGAAAGACAGGCATGTGCTTGTAAGCCCAGTGCTGGAGAGTGCCCTAGCTCTCCCTCCCACTTGTAAGCCCTTCGGTTCTAATGTGAATGACTATGTCAAAAATAAGGGTGGCAGCTCCTACCACTACCACTGGAGCTGCCTTCTGCATGTGTGCACATGCATACGCACACATATATAAGGCTTTGCATCCTCCTCAAAATACACACACACACCTTACATACACACACACACACACACCCACCCTACTTACACATAAATTATAAAACAAATAAAAAGTAACAGGCAGGAGTGCTTGTTAGTTTTTTGGCAACTTGCTACAATTTGGGGTCATTTGAGAAAGGGGAACCTCAGCTGAGAAAATGCCCCTCTTAGATTAGCTTGTATATAAGCCTAAGTGGCTTTTTTTTTTTTTTTTTTTTTTTTTTCTTTTTGGTTTTTCAAGACAGGGTTTCTCTGTGGCTTTGGAGCCTGTCCTGGAACTAGCTCTTGTAGACCAGGCTGGTTTCGAACTCATAGAGATCTGCCTGCCTCTGCCTCCTGAGTGCTGGAATTAAAGGCGTGCGCCACCACCGCCCGGCTAAGTGGCGTTTTCTTGATTAATGATTGATATGGGAATGCACAGCCCACTGTGAGCAGGGTCACCCCTAAACATAAGAAAAGACAAGCTGAGCAAGCCATGGAGAGCATGCCAGTAAGCAGCACCTTCATGGCCTCGGGTTCAGTCCCCGCTTCCAGTGTCTTGCCTTGACTTCCCTCAGCGATGGACTGTGGTCTGGGACATGTGAGATAAACCCTTCCTTCTCCAAGCTGCTTTTGTTGTTGGTGTTTTTCCCAGCCTTAGAACACACACTAGGACACAGGGGCTGGAGAGATGGCTCAGTGGTTAAGAGCACTTGCTGCTCCTGCAGAGAACACCAGTTCCCAGCACCCTCATGGCAGCTCAGTTCCGAGAGATCTAGCATCCCCCTCTGGTCTCCTCCAGCAGTGGACATGCGCATGGTGCTCTTACCTGCGTGCAGGCAAACTATCATGCCACAAGATAAATAAGTATGGTCACCTTTTATTGGAGAAGTAACTTACTGTTCTGTGTTCGGTTCCTCAGTGCTGTTGGGACGTTTGCCCGTGCCCTGGATTGCAGCAGCTCCGTGAGGCAGCCCAGCTTGCATATGAGTGCGGCTGCGGCGTCCCGAGACATCACCTTGGTAAGATGTTATTCTTTTGCTGCTTGCTTAATTATAAGCCATGCGAAGGATGCTGGGTTCTCAGAGCTCTCTGACGGTTGTCCCTGCACTACTAAGCTGATTCAGGCTGGTTGATTAGCTGGGCTTCTGAGTCACCTCTTGTTTGTGAGCTGGGACCAGAAAGAAGCGCTAAGGAATAGAGTGGGGGAAAGTTGTTTGGAAAGCTGTCCGGAGACGGATCTCACCGTTCTGATATGCTGCTGCTTCTCGCGTGTGCTTTTCTCTGTTCATTTACTTGGCTCTAGGTCACGCTGTATTTTATTCCTTTTTATACATAAGGGATCACTGTTGCTATCGCTATTGAGACTATTGCTGTGGTAACTATGTGTTGGTTTTGAGGTGAATTTTTAATAATTTTTAGTGCACAAATAATGGGTTTTCTTATGACATTGTCATACATATTTTAATTTGCTTGTATTCAAGCATTTCAAACACACACAATCATCTCAAATATATCTATATCTATCTATCTATCTATCTATCTATCTATCTATCTACAATTTTTTGAGACAAGGCCTCACGTAGCCAAGGCTGGCCTTGACCTCACTGTGTCGATGAGAATGGCCTTCAAACTCTGATCCTCCCACTTCTACCTCTGCTGGGATTACTGGTTTGTGTGGGTTTTATTGTTCTTTTATGTTGTTTAATGTTTTATTGTGTCGTGAGTGTGTGGCACATGTGACGGTATGCATATGTCGGGGTTTGGGTGGAGAGGTCAGAGGACGACTTTGACTAAGTATAACTAAGCCTCTCACTTGGCGTTACTCTGCCTGTTTGACGTGGGGATGCTCTGTAGCTTCAGCCGGCACTGAACTCTGTCCTCCCATTTTGCCCATCACTACTGGGAACAGGCATGTAACTTTCTTCCAAAATAAGTTTGTATTTTGGTTGTGTACAACTTGAAGACTCTTTTATCATAGAAACAGAGTACAGATACCATGTACCTCCATAATTATTTTTTTTTTTAAGAAGAGTTTTTTAAAAATGTTTTATGTGTATGGGTGTTTTGCCTGCATGTATTTCTGTGCCATGTTTGTGCAGTGCCCATTTTGACCAGAAGAGGGCGTCAGATCCTCTAGAACTGGCATCACAGAAAGGTGTGAGCCTCACGTGAGTGCTGGGAATCAAACCTGGATCCTCTTGCGCTCATACTTCGTTGCTCAGGTTTAAGAATGCCTTGAATTCTGGGCTCAGGAGAACCTCTTGTCTCAGCCTCTGCACCTGGCTCATATTATTCATGTTCTATTACACTTATAAACACTTTTCTTCTGCTGTTTCTCATAATTTCGTCTTTTAAATTCCCCAACACCTTTTGCCAACTCATGTACAATTATTCTCTACTACAGCTGGTATTGATTGGAGCGCTGCTTCCCAGGGAACTGCTCCTTTAGAATGTAGCCATGTATTGCAAAATCATTCTGCACACCAAGATGGAAATTCATAACCCCAGATGCAGTCACAGTGTGATCTGGACTTTGTGTGTGGTGTGTGTGTGTGTGTGTGTGTGTGTGTGTGTGTGTGTGTGTGTACATCATGGTCAGAAGACAGCTTGACATTGACAGCTTTCTGGCATTCCCTCCATCTCTGTGGAATTCAGAGTCATCAGGCTTAGCAGCAAGCACCTTTACCCCCGGACCATCTCAGTGTTTCCACATAGTTTATTTTGTTGCTTTGTTTGGTGTTGAATAGCTCCACCTAGTAAGCACTGACTGATAAGCCAAGTCTCCTGGATGTTTTTTGTAACAGATTTGAGTTTATCTGGTGTGCAGCTTTTTCGTCCGGTCTCCCCCTGGGTTTCCCTGATCTGTGGAGCATAAGCCATGCTTTCCCGTCTGCCTTCTTCGGTGATGATGTGGTTGGTGCTGATGGGATTGAACTGAGCCTCACCTGTGCTGGGCATGTCTGCTATTGCTGACAACAAATGTTTTCTCTTAATATTTTAAGAGCCTGGGAACGCCCCCCCCCCCCCATTGCATGTTCTTGCTTTGTATAGATGGAGCGTTATCTGTAATCAGTCCTTTGTTGTTTAATGTCATTCTTAGGAAAGTGTGCTTATAAAACTAGACATCCGCTCCTAGCAGGTTCTCTCTGCCCTGACCGAGAATCCAGAGTGGGAAAGTCAGTCCCTGACCAGGATTGAGCTGTGTGGCAGTTGGTGATTGGTGCTGATTTGCCGGGTGGGGGTCTGCAGGGTGACCAATTGTGTCACATGCGTGATCTTGGGAAGTCACAGTGACTGTGTCCCACTGCTGGTGGCCTCAAGGGGATTTGTCCAGGAAGAGGGTATAGAGTTCAGTGAAGGCTCTTCATTATATATATTATGTTATATAATATCACAGCAGTATATGTACGTTTTCTCCTTTGAGCTGCAGTCTTGCTGTGTTGCCCAGGGCAACTTACTCTTGGGCTCAAGACAGCCATCTTGCCTCAGCCTTGAGAGTCATCAAGACGTTAGGTGATGCCACCATGCCTGGCTGAGGACTGTTTATAAAACGGCTCCCTTTAAAGACCCTTATTGTACACATCTGTGTATTTATAGAAGACCTACTTGTACTTACTGTGTGTGTGATGTGTGGGTGTGTGTGCTGTGACCCTTGTGTGACGTAAGGCAGATGACCTCCTATCCTCCTGCCTCCACCCTCATGTGCTGGAATTCCAGGTGTTTGCCACTGCATAACAGGTTTAATGCTTGTCTACTATGTTCCCTTTAAGAAGATGCCCTCCGACTTCCCAGTGTTTCCATCCCTTTGTTTTGTTTACTTTTGTTAGTTGTTTGGAAATCACCTTTATATCACAAACCAAGATTGCAGGAATAAATAATTTAGGATAAGTAAATTTATTTGTTTAGAGACAGAGTCTTATAATGTGGCCCTGGCTGGCTTGAACTCAGTCTGTAGACCAAACAGGCCTCGAACTCACAGAGATTCACTTGCCCCTGCCTCTGAAGTGCTGGGCTCGAAGGCGTGCGCTGTCACATACACACCAGCTCATTACTGTAATAATTTTTCTGTTTTTAAACAGAAGTGGACTTGGAGGCCCAGGCAGTTGTGAGCTGTCAGGTTGAATCCTATCCATTCTTGTCTCTACCAAGTCCTCTCCTGTTCCAACAGGCTCCCTTTCTATCCACCTTCTGCCTCTGCTTCATTAGAACGCCTGGGCTGGGTCTTCCTGGGTTAGATATGCTTGAAGATGTAGGGGTGTGCGTGAGAGACAGACAGACAGAATGACATGCAGAGAGATAGAGAGGGATGGGAGTGGAGAGACAGACAGGCCTCCTGTTTAAACTGCTGTAGCTTCGGGCTCACTTGGAGTCTTATGGTCCTGGGGATTTATGTACAAACTGAGTGGGCCAGGTTAAAACTGGTGCTTCAACTATGGATTCAGAGTTTGGCGATTGCTTGCCAGAAGGGATGTGTGAAAGGTTCAGAGTGGCCTTTCACTGTCAATTTCCTTTGGGAATTTTATGTGGGGACAACCTACAGAAAGCTTTTAGCATTCCTGGACCATTTGTTCATCTAGGGATCCTAGACCTCTTGTCAATCACCAGTAATATTTTTGGGGCAGGTATTGTACATGCCTGGGTCTGACTTCCTCATTTTGAGGTCTGTTATGATGTAGCTAAACTGCAAGTTTCAAGTGTTGCTAACCCAAGATTTCTATTGCTACCTGGGCATGGTGGTGTACCCCTGCCTGTGGTTCCAGCTCTTGGGAGGCAGAGGTAGGCAGATCAAGAGTTCAAAGTCAGTTATGAAACAGTCTCACAACTCAAAAACAAAACAAAACAGAACAAAAAACCCACAGCCTGGTGGTGGCAATGCCTGGCTTTAATTCCAGCATTCACAGAACAGAGGCAGGCGAATCTCTGAGTTCACGGCCAGCCTGGTGCACAGAGAGAGTTCCAGGACAGCCAGGGCTAACCAGAGAAACCTTGTCTTGAAAAACCAAAACCAGACCAAAACTAAACAAAACAAAACAAATCTAAAACAAACCAAAATACACTGAACTCATGTAGGTTTCATACATGCCTCTTACTTCATAAAATAGATAGTATTTTATATACTATGCAGGGGAAAAGCACCAATTAGAAATACTGACACAGCTGGTCCCCTCTCCCCCACAGCCCCTCACTTGAGGAATGGTCAGTATTATAGTCAAACCATGCCTTACTGTTGTGGGAACATTATGGCGCCCCCACACAAAGAAAGATAGCTGTGAAGTCACCAGGCCATGCGGCCATGGCGCCAGTGTTATGTGTGACATGTATACAATCTGACCTGTACTGAAACATCGCTGGGCTTTTGTGACTGGAACTGGCACAGTACCAGCCTGCTCCTCCCTGAGTTTGTGGTGGTGGCCACAAGGCCACTCCTTGGTCTGCAGAGCGTCATCAGCGTTGTTAGTGACCTGCTGTCTCGCTCCTGGAGAAGCAGTGCTCTGGCTGACTGGAAACTAAGTAATTGGGTGAATTTTTGAGTAGTTGCATTGAAAATCCAGGCCCCAGGATGGTAAATGAACTGCTCAAGGACTTGTCCCTTCGGGTGGTGCAGGCAGGACTAGACAAGGCTTTCTGGTGGCAGGTCTGAACGGAGGAAGGCTGGCTGTGCTGGTTAGTGAGAGATGGATTCAGATACAACGGCAGCGCTACTGCCTGAAACGCAGCTCCCATCCTGTGAGTCCATAGTATCATTTAATCGTATTTATGACAACATACAAGTCCCCAGTATACCTTCCTCTCTCCAGACTCCTGGAGTCCTCAGGACTCCTGACAGTTTCCTGGCTTTGATTTTTTTTTTTTTTTTTTTTTTTTTTTTTGCTGTTATTGTTGTTTCTTTTTGATTGAATCTTGCTGTGCAGTTCTGGCTGGCCTGGAACTCACAGTGGTCCACCTGCCTCATGCTTCCAAGTGCTGGGGTTAAAGGCTTGTCCTGGGCCTTTGTTTGTGATTCTCTGTCTCTCTCTCC